AGGTTGTGAAAAGACAAGCCCATGATAAACTTTCATCTTCGGATCTCAATCCATGGTATTTGTCTGAGTTGTTCAAAGAGTGACTTGCCCAACCAAGTATTCCATTTCATGAAGGCACAATTACAATACTCGCCACACATGGACATAGGTATTGTCAATGGAATTTCAAAGTGGATAGTGTTTTCATGATCTCGTCAGTGTAATTATTGTGTTATTATTTTCTCCAATTGAGCTTAAGCATCTCTACATTCTTGGGAAGTGATTTTCCAAGCAACATATTTTTTATACCTAAGAACCACTGGTTTAAGGGTGCAGAAGATTGGTGTTTAAATCAATTATTTACATGCATATGCGTGTGAAGCAAAACGTAATAGATCACAGAAATAAAAATTAGATAAAATAAAAGACTGAGTGCAGATCAAACAAAGCCTGTCAGCATGAACTAGGTTGTATACACCTTCACCTACTATCCAATCTTAGCCAAATATAAATACAAGACAACTTTAGAAGATCTGCTTATCAGGCTAGCACATTGACAGCCTGAAACCAGGAACAAAATCAAGTAAATCTGACAACATTAACAATTGCATACATGAAGGCCAAAGCAGGAGAAAATCAGTTAGGAGCGAATGTGAAAGGTACTGTACTCAGATATAAAATAGGTAAGAAAGAAATGAAATTCTGGACAAGGGACACTGGAAAAGGGAGGACCAGAAGACAACCTTTAGTAGTATAAGAGAAGTTCAAGGTGTCCTTGCAGCTATCACAGTTCAGGACTTTATGTTGGCCTAGGAAGCATGTTCAGTGACATCATCAACAGTACTAATTGCAGCTTTATGAGATAGGATGATGTATTTGGTGTTTATCATGAAAGTAAAGTGCCTCAACATAATGTTCAATGAATAAACCACAACCGTGAGGATGGGCAAAGCAGAGACCTACTGAGTCAGGGACAAGAAATCTTTCATGGAACCTGCCCTGACATGTTAACCTTAACTATAACTGATTTGGGTTCCCCATCCTTGTAAGGATGAAAGGATAATGAGACACGACAACGAAGCAAACAGTTCATGGATAACAAATGCTTCGTTTGGATACCATGGTGTTTTGCTTATTGTGTTCTTGTAAAAAAACCATGGTGTTGCGAGTGTTTTCAAAACACCATGTTGAGTGTTTTTGGTCAACACTATTTGACCCGTTACAATATTAGTATTAAGCATATTATTAATATATTATATTAATTATAATAAAATATATTATAAATAAAATGTTATAATATTTAGTTTATATTATTATAGTATTGTAAATTATAAATATTAGATATAACACAATATAATATTTTATAATGTATTAAAATATTATGCTATGCTTTAATGTGTTATATTATATTATAATTATTACATATTATTTGAAGATAATAATATATTTAACTAGTTTGGTATATCAATTTGTAATTGATATATATTATATAATATTTGTAAAATAACCTTATTTTATTATTAATATAATTTTAACAATTGTTAATATAATATAATATTATTAATAATGTTAATATTATGTTATTACTAGTATATTATTAATAAATTAGTATATTATAAATATTTTAACATTATATATATTATAGTTTTTAATATGTTAGAGTTTATTATATATGATATTTTATAATTATTAATTTATTACAATATATTTATTAAAAAGGTAATAATATTATAGTAATTATAAAATTGTATAGTATATTATATATCATTATTTATTATCAATAACTTTTTTATTATTTTTATTAGAGCATTTATATTTTATTATTATTTATTATTATAAAATACATTATCAACATATTAAATACTAGTATTTAATATGTTACTATATTATTACATAAGATATTTTGATTATTATATTAAATATTACCAATATATTAGATTAACTATAATATAGTATAGTATAATATAATACAATATGATAAGCATGTCGATAATAACTATATATTAATTACATTTAATACATTATGTTAAATATTATATTAACATCTCCTCAAACTCAAAACCAAAACACAAAACTTAAAACACCTAAAAGGTGTTTTGAAATAAGTGTTGTGTTTTTGGCTTGAGGATAATTTAGCTCAAAAAACACAATAGTTCCCAAACGCATAGTGTTTTGTTTTTGACAAAAACACCATGAAAACAAGTAAAACTCCATGGTATCCAAATGGAGCCAAAGAAACCAAAGCATCAAAAATTGCGAAGGAAATATTGGATAAGAGATGATAATCAGAGAACAACTTAGCAGTTGAATTGAATCTAGTGAAACAGTCTTAACACATACTCATCACCATTTATCCAAACCAAACAGCTAAGGGTAATAGAATTAAGACTACAATTAGAACCCACCACCCCCTCGATTTGGAATCCTGATCAACAGCACCAAGAAATGGTTAACAAAGCAAGTCAACATATGCTTAAGCGCTTATGAGGATCTTCTACCAAATAAGAGGTGAAAACCCCAGTTCATAGAATTAAACAGTAGGTTTCCATTTTTAGATTGAGATAACTGCTACAAATAAGTGGAAAGACTCCTAGGCCTCAGATTTTATACAACTTCAACAGATCATAATTGCTAGCCAAGAGAACAAGGTTGAAAACAACCCAACAAGCAAACATAAACATAACTTCTTGACCTGGAACGTTAATAAATAATTAACCAGATATTGGTTGAATTTCGATGATTTGATCCAAGCTTTACACATCTGCCTTTTCCAAAATGAGAAAAAATTGATTACAAGTTGAAGCTAAAACTTTACATACTAGTAATATGGACTGGAAGTATCAAATAAAAACCAGAGTATGAGAATTTGCTATAACTGACCGAGCATATGAGGGAACTGGCCAAGTTCTCCAATATCAATAAATGTGAGTCCTAATCACGCATATCTATAACCAGTGGGGGAGACATTCATTGGCAAGAGGGGGAGCCCCCCCCCCCCAACCAATCTAATTTTTTAATAGAAATTTTATGAGGGCGGTTAGTTTTGTATAAGCCATTCTCATGTTTCATTTAGTTTTTCAATTTGGCCCCTCCTCTGTCAAACCAAAATCAATTTGGCCCCTCCACTCCACCATCAGGTTTGACAAACCCTCACCCACCCAAGTCAAATTACATTCAATTTAATAAACAAAAAAATTGAAGCTACTATGCACGAGAAAAAAACAAAGTCTTCTCTAATTTCCTTTCTCTATTTTATCTTTCACAAACCTTAATCAAAACTACACATAAATCTCTCGATTCTTCTTTCGCCATCCCAAATTTCACTTCTATTTAACAAATCTAACCTTAATTGTCATTTACCTTGTTGGCTTGGGCGTCCGAAAGATTTTTGCCGAATCTTGAAAGCCCTTTTCGATTAAGGTGAAGAATCACAATATCCCTTGTTTAATAAACTTATTTGTTCTATTTTTTTATTTAGTAGTATTGTGTTAAAACAAAAATGCCCTTAGTAGCAAATCTTAGTTTTTATTGTTCTTTGTTTTTGTAGTGGAGCCAAATTGATAATTTATTAGCTTGTTGAAAATTTTAAATCTTAATTATTCTTGTATGTTATTTTTCTCTCCTCTTGATAATAATGCTTTATATATGCTTGTTCTGATCTATGAATTTTTTTTATTTATTGACAATTATTATTATTTGCAATTAATGGAGGTAACATTGTCAGATTTTTATTGTTAATGTTAGCTTGTTGGCATTAGCAATTGATTTCCTTTTTCCTTTGATAGTTTGATGCATTAGCAACTAATTCATTTATGATTTTTCTTTGATGCATTGCAACTATATATTTGTATTTTGACTGATAGTTACTATTTGATATAATATTTTATTTTATTCTGATGTTTATATATATACACAGTTACACACACACACTGAACTTGGAATCTTGGCTCTGCCACTGTCTATAACAATATGAGATACTCGTACAGCATTAAGCAATAAAAATTCTAACTGCTTTCTCCAAGTCGTAGCTCGAACTTTAATCAGAGTAAACCCTAATTCTCTAGAAATAAAAACCTAAACGCTAACTTAGATAACGGGAATCTTAATGAGCTAGAGTAATGCTATCTATCACGTGCTAATTTCTAGCATCCCTCGTAAGAATTACAGTAAAAAGAACAACTTCCACCCTTTTTCGAGATTTCCTACCCCAAAAGAAAGTAAATTTGCTCCAATTTCATCTTCCAGAGGCATCTCTCAACCATGAATTTCCACTAAATTTGCTTTATTTCCAGTAATTCCCTACCATAAGCCACTAATCTAAGCTCATCACTTCAAAATTGAACAGCATTAGAGGCAATGAACACAAACTAGTGAAAGAGAGAGTAAAAGATTAAAAAAGAAAAGCTCAAATCGAACCCGAAGAAGCGCTCATCTTCGTCGTAGAAGCTTCTACCTCCGATGGCCGGAGAATTTTAGCCGTCGTGCGATGCTCAGCTCGCTGCCATCGAAGGGATTTTTGTGCCCTAGAGAGAGATTTGGGCGGCTCATTGGGGTCGAATTGCGAGTTAAAAATATATTTAAGGAGGACAAATTTTCAAAACCAACCCATTTGATAAACTAATTGTAAAAAACGACCCGTTTCAGATTTATTTAGAGAAACCGACCTGGTTTCAGCACTGTCGCTGAAACCAGGTCGGTTTTTCTAAAAAACTTTACGAAACTTCACGGGAGTTCAACTCCCGTGAAGTTTTTTCTCATAACAAAACTTCACGGGAGTTGAACTCCCGTGAAGTTTCGGAAACTTTTTTTCAAAAACCGACCTGGTTTCAGCGCTGAGGCTGAAACCAGGTCGGTTTTTGCAAATAAAACTGAAATGGGTCTTTTTTTGGGAATAGTTTATCAAATGGGTTGGTTTTGAAAATTTGTCCTATTTAAGGATACCTCACTTAACTTTGGATATTTTGCAGTGAACCCGCCTGAAGTTAAAAATTAGAGCAAACTACATAACTTTGGAGGTTTGCATAAACCCCCCTGACTTTTAGAAATCAGAGAAACTGCCCTCAAAATTTGAAGAGTTTCACAATACCCTCTGAACTTCTGAAGTTTCACCCACACTTTAAAGCAGGTTATTCTATGATTTGTTAGGAAGAGAAGGTAGGAGGAAACAAATGGTGAAAATAGAAAGCGAGTTCTTTTTTAAGTTTTACTCAGAGCGTAGATTATTTTTTTCTAAAAAAGAATATTTCAATGATAGACGGTTGGATGGATTTGATCCTTTCTCAATTATTTTAGATTTGAATATCTTACCGGTTTTCTCAGAATTAAGTTGAATTTGAGGTAGACTTTAATTCTCGAGTTTTCTTAATTGGATTTAGTATTATGATGTGAGGGCTGGTCTAACCCTCCGACACATGAGTTCCCTAACCAAGTTTCACACGTTAAAAAATTCAATTTCATAAATGAAAGTGAGCAAACTTTTTTTTTAAAAATTTTGTGTGTTTTAGAAAACCACAGACAATCCAAATGATTGGGAGCCAAACTCTTGGGTTCGATTCCCTTATAAAAAAATTGTATACTTTAAGCTTTTCTTAGATATTACTCCCTCAAATCTTGAATAATTCCATATTACTCTCTCTAATCTTTAAAGATACTCACACATCTGGTAAATACATATTAGTCGCTTTGAAATTTTGTGACTGTAAGGGCTTGTTTGGATTTTAAGCGAGTGAAAGAAAGTAAGGGATATTAAAAAGAACTTGTTTCACCCAGTTTGGAAAATGTAATAAAATGATGGGAAGGAAAGGGAATATATATAAAATAACATAAATATCATTCCATGTTAACATAAATAACATAAATGATAGGGGTTAAATTAGTCTCTCTACATTTGCTTTGCTCCCCTTATGTACTTTCATCCTGGTTACACCCCAACTTGGGGGTGGGGGGGACTGTGGTTTTCTTCCCTCCTTTACTTTCCCTTCTCCCCTGCTACTTTGCCCAATTTGATTCCTAAACAAAGTTAAAACTTACCATACTCCTGCCTCTCACTACCCCCAATCCAAACACACACTAAATCAAGGGATATTTTAGTCACGTCGGGGCCTAATTGCAAGACCCTAAGAATTAGCGGAACTTATGAGCAATTTCAAAGATTATAGGATGTAGTATGGAATTATTGAAGATTTAAGAGGCTAGTAGGGAAGTTATTGGAGATTTATAAAGACCTCGCTTTTGTTCTTTCTCTCCTCTCATCGAGGGGAGAAAAAAACCCTAATTATCCGCACAAAGCGAATCTCGCCCGCGACCGCCATGGACGATTCCAAGAAGAGAAAGCTTGAAGAAGAAGAAGGAGGCAACGGGGAGCTCTCTCTCATCAATTCCGATCAACAGCTGCGCCTTCTTCTCGATCCTCTTCGAAAAGATCAGCTCGTCGACCTCTTAGCCAAACTGTAAGAATTTCCAGCAGTAAAGAACAGAATCGTGCATGAATTCTCTTTGAGAGTAGAATTCCTTGTTTTTGTGAGATTTTCTAGATTGAGGAATCCTGGGGTCTTTATATTATTCTCTCCAATTTACTAACTTGTGGGAGATTTGATGAGTTATGAGGTCTCAACTATCTTCTTTTTTATCTATTATTTTCATGGAGTTGCTTGAACTAAAAAAGTTCCTTTCTTCCTTTAATTTAAGCTAATGTTTCCATTGTCATTTGTTTTTTCACAAAATAAAAGATGAAATTTACAGGATTATCTAAAGAAGTAAATGGCCCCCTCCCCTCTTTATATATTGGTAATGCTCGCGTCGATGTACACACAAGCAGACAGACACATACACGGCTACACCGGACATGGCGGCCGACATTTAAAACACTGCATACACCTATGTACATATATAAAAAGTGGGCATAAATTTTTTTCATCGCATGAGTGAGCATAAATTTTGTACATTGTTATAGTTTTATGAAAAATGATACACAATAGAAACTACTAGTTATTCTGTTCAATATACACGTGCCTATTGCATAAGAAGAGCCATAGGGAGTTTCTACCATGACAATATAGAAAACTAGTAGATGATGCATCATGCATATTCTAGTTCTTGATATTAAAGATGAAGTTCCTTATGGTCAAAATTCTACCCCTCTCTTTACTTTAAATGTAGAGAAAATATCCCCACCTTAGAAAATTTTGTCAATGAGAATAACCTAGACAGTAACTGTTATTTGATCGTAAGAACATTAGCGGTTAATGTAATTTTACCTTCTAATTGTAGCCTTAATCCTTCATAAAGTGAAATGAACATATTTTGAATTCCATTCAGATGATAATACCTTGTAATTTTCAATTTTTTTCTTTATTCATGTTGAGAGTCCTACCATGGAAATGATTAATCTCTCTTATTTGTATGCTAATAGGAAATGACAACTAACAAAAATGCCCAATGAAACCTTTGTGACTTGACATAGAATCTCTTGTTCTGTACTTTTGATCAAATATCTGTGGTAGTACTTTCCAAAATAACCAGTCCATTTAGCCTCTTCCCCTTTTTGATGACGAGAAATAATCTCAAGTAAAGACATAAGGCAGATTCTTGAACCTGGGATCTTTCATAAACGAGGCTTACTAGGATAAAGAAGACTTAGGCTTTCTCCAGCTCTGCTTACTTTAAATCGCATTTTAATATGCAATTTCATATGTCTTCTTTACTAATATAGCAATATTTATGCTACTTTATTAATCATGTTCTTTTATATTACTTATATAATTTTATTTCCTTAAATAATGCAAACCATTACCTTGGTGTTCCATTTCTTTAACTTAAAACTTACAAAAGAGCGAAAATTACTAATTAAGCAACAACATCTACTATGTTTACCATTTGATTACAAATCAAATCCATTATAGGAGAATACAACTCATTAGCATCTATTTATAAGACAAGCCATGTATCTGCTCCTACTACAAGCAAGAAACTTAATTCTATAGCTATTACATAAAGAAACTAACTTACCTACACTACTTCATCATCGTAATAAGAAAACTAAACCACCTATCACAAGCTTGCCCATAGTTGCATGGAATTCGATTCATTGCGGTTCATAGGACGAGAACGGGAGCGTGGTATATCACTTTTTTAGAATTGCGTACGAGGGGTAGGCTTATATGCAAGGTTTTAAATAGCTGATATTGAGGAAATATCAGATGGTGAAAATCCATATCATGTTGCGGATATTTAGGAAATATCAGGGATATGTAGTAAATATCAGAGGGCCATATTGGATGATTTGAGTATGTAATATTATATCTAAAATGTAATCTAAACATACTTAATGAAATCAAAGAAAACAAAAATATAAATAATATATATGTAGGGCCACTAAGCAATTATGGAATCTTACTAAGTAAGGTTACAGAAAGCGCTAGGCGGCTTAGGCTTTGGACCTGACGCCTAGAGCCTAGGAGCCTAGACGGAAGCCTAAGTGGGGTCTAAGTGTTTTCTTATTTTTTTAGTTTTTATTACAATTACTAATGCCAATGTTATAGAAAGCTTAGGCGTTGGTCTGACACCTAGGAAGATTTCTTAAGTGGTGGTGGAGGATGTTTTGTTAAAGGTCGGGAGAGGTGGAGGTGTTCATAGTTGGAGTTTCGAGGAGGTTGGTAATATATATGTAGGACCACTAAGCAATTATGGAATCTTACTAAGCAAGGTTACAGAAAGCGCTAGGCGGCTTAGACGTTGGACCCGATGCCTAGAGCCTAGGAGCCTAGGCGGAAGCCTAAGCGGGGTCTAAGTGTTTTCTTATTTTTATAGTTTTTTATTACAATTACTGATGCCAATGTTATAGAAAGCTTAAGCGTTGGATTAACACCTAGAAAGATTTCTTAAGTGGTGGTGGAGGATGTTTTGTCAAAGGTCGAGAGAGGTGGTGTTCATAGCAAGGTTGCTGATAGCGGATTGCGGCGCGTCGTGGCGAGGTATCGCTTAGGCTATTTCGGGCTATTACGGCAAAATAACGGCAATAGCGCACAGTCAAATAACGGTCAAATATAAATATATTTAAATATTCTAAATAATAAGAAAAATAATATAAAAATTTTATAAATGCATACTTAATGCCTAAACATGAAATAGATGTGTAATAATTACATAATATTAACTAAGTACTATAATTATAAAGATTAAAGAATAAAAAAACGTACTTGTTTATCCAAAAGACTGTTATTTGTCCCATTTCTTCAACTTTCAAGTCTCTAATATAAAAATGCTCAACAATAAAAAACAATAAAAAAACATTGATTAGTTGCCAGAGGGAAGCTCGTCGGAGACCCGGAAGTCGTCATTGGAACTGTGGAAGTCGCTGGGAGCTAGAGCGGAAGTCGCTGGAGAGAAGCAATCGGGAGGCGCTGGAGCGGAGACTCGGAGAGAAGGAATCATCGTGGAAAGAAGGAATCATCGTGGAATCGGAGAGAGGCGGAAGTCGCTGGAGCAATCGGGAGGCAGCTAGGGCTCGGGAGTGGGAGAGAAGGAATCGTCGTGGGAGAGGGTTTAATTGTAACGAGTTGGGTTCGGGGCGAAAAACTTCATATATGTGTGATAGCGATTTAGCGGGTTTAACCGTTTTTAAACGCTTTTACGCGCTATTCGAATGAATAGCGGATTTTCCCACTTAAGCCAGCCGCAAAACCCCTACGCGTAGCGCTGAAGGGTCGCGATCGCTATTCGCGCCGCTATAGCCCCGCTATTCGCCGCCATTTACAACACTGGTTCATAGTTGGAGTTTCGAGGAGGTTGGAGACTACAAGGAGGAACTCATGATGAATGCCTAAAGGTGCAGTTAATATAGGCAGACCACACTCACTTAGGTGCTCCCAAAATATACGTGGGCAACCTAGGTACCGCCTAGACGCTAGGTAGGTGGCCAAGGTACCGCCTAGGCCTATACGTCGGTCTAGGCGGAGACTTTTTAAAACATTGTTACTAAGAGAAAAGAAACTACTAGAATTTTACTAAAAAGCTTCATGGGGCTAGATTTTTTGCTAAAACACATTAAAGAAATATTACAAAACCAAATTTTTTTTTGCAACAAGCTATATAAAAGGATATCGGCTAACATATTAACTGATATATCGATCATATCGGGGATATATCGTCAAAAGTTACCAAAAAGCGGTAAAGGATATAGAGACCATATCATTTTGTGGAAAGCCTAATAAAAGAATATATCGGCCGATATATTAGGCTATATCGAGGATATTTAAAACAATGCTTATGGTATGGACCGTATGGTAGGGAACGTGGTATACTTTATGTTCGGTTTTTAAATGTAGGACTCCGAATTTTTCTTTCTTTCTTTCTTTTCTTTCTTTTGATTGCATATAACTAAGCAAATGCAAATAGTACCACGATTCTGATTTCCAACATGTAAAAATATAATAATTAATATCTATACTGATACACATCATATAAATGGAGACGTTGAAAACCATTACATAACAAAGTTGCAAATAAGTATTTCTGTTTTTTAAATGCTAATTTTAAAAAATGATAACTAGCTTGATTTGTAAATCGGGTCGCCAGAGTTGGCGAACTGGGTCATGGTGGAACATGATCCAAGTCACTAGTGTTTTGTGTTCTAGGATGATTGAACATGGGTCGCAGTTCACTACTGTCTCGAATTCTCGACATCTATGTAAAAAACATTGATCAATTTGTAAAAGGGAAAGAAATTTATGGTACTAGTTTAATTAAATAAAGGATACCTGTGCTCTCCTCACATGGCTATAAAGTGCTTGCCTAAAAAAGATAACTAAGAGAAGAATCCTACTCATTAATGGAGATGAATAACCTAAAGAGGAAATAACTAAGCAAAGGAGGAAACTAAAAAATAGTCGCTACATTGTTCTCTCATCGTAATACATCCCTAGCCCAAAAAGGGCTTATCTAGAAATAGGATTCCCATTAGATTAGGAGTTCAAGTGGGTATAAATTTAAATCAGGACAGGTGAGCTATTAAATGGGGGTAGGCGTGCATCATTAAATTTGAGTTATTTCTTTTTCCTAAATATGGAACTGAAATTGATGTAACCTTTTTTGCTGTTGACCATCTTTTTAACTTGTACCATCTAGTTATCTTTTTTAGTTTTACTCCAATCATCTTAACATGTTTCTACTACAAGTTAAAGCATTTTCATTTTCTTATAACTTTTCTAATCCAAACGTTTGGGCATCTAAATAGTACTATGGAGCACGTGATAAAACGCATTTCAGTGTGGTTGAGGCCAAACTATCTAGTTTGGTTTTTGGTTTCAATAGAAACCATGTAAAATGGGTTTAGTCCTAATTTGACCCACATAACCATATTATTTGATTGAACCCACCTCTTTTCAGTTTCATTTTCCCTTCCTTAATTGTTATCAGTATCAAGATTCTCAACGAGGAGGGGGAAAAATCATGGAGTTGGACCACGCAAGATTGAAGAAAACTCAATGTTGTATTGCTTCCTCATCCCCTTGATTAGTCCACCTAGTCGCTTATTGAACATCAGAATAATCTTATCAAATCGAGCTTGTACACATGTTTTGTCGCTTTGTCCCTTTATTTACGGAAGAGGAAATGAGGACATTTTTTCTTTCTTTCAACCAAATTCTAGCCATATTGTTTTTATTAATTTCCTTTCTGTCATTTTCTGGTGCTTGATATGTTGCACCGGGACCAGTTAATGATGCCCTTTTTTCGATTAAGTACCTCAATGGTGGATACATATCCCTAAATCAATATTTCAAGCCATGTGCATATAGGAATTATGGCATCAGATTCTGTGAAGAAATTAATGAATTTTTTTAAAAGAAGGGCCCAAAATAGAATTTTTAAAAACATTAAATGAAAGTTACCTGACCTATGGTATAGGTTGCAGCCCTGCAGGAATGTGGTTTAGGGCTTATTTGGTGGATGCGAGAGGAAGTGGGGCTTTTATTTGCTATCGAGATTGAAAAATAGCGCAAATTGATTAAACAATTTTAAAAAGAGAAGAACAATGGAGAAAAGGAGAAAAGGAGGAATTTGAGGCTCATTGTTGTCTAGAATGAAAAATAGTGCAAAATGATGAAAAAATAGAAAGAGAAGAAGAATAGCGAACAGGTGGAAAGACATGAGTCCTGACTCATTAATCTCCCTGAAAACACAACTTTCAGGTATTTCACTTTTATATTTCAGTACACTACTGCCTTTACATAGGTTAGACTTGTGGCACCCTCTGAAGCACAGAGCCCCCGGAGGCCACGAATCTGTGTCCGACTCGAATCGGACACGGATTCGTCACGACACGTGTCGGATACGGTCAATCCGTGTCCGATACGGGTCAACGGTCAAACTAGGCTCGGACACGGTCAAAGGAGCTCGGACACGGCTCGGATTCGCCGAAGACCGATTCATTCGGGTTGCGGGTTTGGTTAAAATCCAACCCGAACTGTTCGATTAAAAAACTCATCCTTATTTCTCAAATCTCCCATTCGATTCGATCCTCAGCTGATTCAAACGAAAGAAAAAAAGAAAAAAACCCTAACCCTAATCCTCTCTCTGAATCTCTCAGCCCACTCCCGTTCGATTTGATCACATTCGCTGTTCCGACCCGATCCCGCCGACCGACTGCTCCTCCCTCCGACTCCTCAAGTTCACCCTACATTTCTCCTCCCCGTCCAGCACAATCACCACCACTGTCATCATCTCCTCCGGTTTTTGAGTTCGAGCAGCAACCCAGCGTCATATTATTATCATAAATCTGATGAAGAAAGTTACAAATAATATATTTTAGATTGTTATTTTGTTATAGATTCATATTTTAGATTGTTAGTTGAATTTTATAAATTTTTCTATATATAATAATAATTTAAAAAAATCCTTGCCATATCCCCGTATCCTATTTTTTTGGATTTTGACGTATCTCGTATCCGTGTCCGTGTCGTATCCATGTCCCGTATCCGTATCCGTGCATCATAGGTGGCACCCACCCATACCTTGTGGTGTGAAAGATTCATATTCAGCACTCAAAACATCTTGAAATTTCATTCAAAGACCTCACAGTACTACCATTCGCTTGATGCCAACTAAGGGTCATGTCAGTCTCAAAAATACCAAATTGTGACCTTTCTAGGCTTTTAGTCACACGTTCAACCCATCTGCAGTAGGCTTTAGTTCATCTATGAACCCTAGTGATCATATAGTTGATACATGATGTGTACTTTCAATTTTGTTTCTCTGTTAATGATGTCAGAGCATCATGTATAATTGGAACTTGTTCATATGTGGTGCGGGGTCTTGACTTTGATGATGTAGTCTTTAACGAAATGTTGCGTTATTAGTTACTGTGCTTTAGTTGCTTCTAAATATTTAATGGAGTTTTGAGTAGGAAATGATTGTCCTTTCTTTTGTCACTAGCTGAGGACAATTAATAGTTTCAGCTGCTTCTTAACCATTCTTTTGTTCTCTGTATTATAAGTGATGGCACACTGATACTCCTGAATTCTAGTTTTCGCTTTTTTTTTTGCTCATACACTTTATATCAAGGGAGTTGAATTTTGGAACTGATTGCTCCACAAATTGACATTGCCTGTATGTGTGCATGTATGCATGTTGAGCCATTCAGAGGTACCCAGTATGCTACAGTTGCAGATGAAATTAGAGGTGTGGCAAGCTCCGATCCTGTTCATCGCAAGCTTTTCGTTCGTGGGTTGGCATGGGAAACTACTTCAGAAACCTTGTGTGCTGTGAGTGCTATGATGTTTGCTTTTTGATGCTTGTGTGTTGGGAGTGCTTGATTTCTTCACCATTACACAATTGCATCTTCTCTTTTGTCTTCATAATACCTTATGCATAACTTTTCTGTTACTTATTCAATAATCTTGGTGAAGTCTATTTATATAGTTCCTGACAGCGTTGAAATTTTCTTCATCATATCTCAAGGCATTTTGTGATCATGGTGAGATCGAAGAAGGAGCTGTCATAGTTGACAAGGCGACTGGAAAGTCTCGTGGATATGGCTTCATTACTTACAAGCATATGGAATCTGCTCAAAGGGCCTTGAGAGAACCAAGCAAATTGATTGATGTAAGGAATATCATTAACCATATGTAACGTATATTTATGTCTATGCCCTATATGTTATGTTTACTTATTCATTTGCATAACACTGAAATACGCTAAATACATTCTGTCAAGTGCCCGCAGCTTGTTTTTTATTTTTTTAATCTCCCTTGCGTGGAGTCATTAGTCCTACCAAGATGAACACATGTTCATTCTCATTCAGATACACAAATAAACAGCCATAGCAGAAGAAATTATTTTCTTCAAAATTGTGTTGACTGCTGGATATATATTTTTGCCATAAGGGCCTGTCTCCGTCAGATTAAAAATAGTATTGCCTACCTCAGTCTTGACAACCATTCCCCTTCTCTCTTTCCTTGATACCTTACCCATTAAACTTATACTGTACCCTATATATTTTGAGTCTTTGTATTTCATGGACTTGTGTTCTCTTATGATTATGAACAATCAGGCATCATGCTTACCTGAAGAAGTCTAGAAAATTAGTTTTTTACTAGATGATTATCAGTCATCAATAACCATAATCCTGAATTTTGTCTTATGATTATGATTAGGAGCAAACATAAGTTAACAATCCACATCAACAGATTACAAAATTCAGGCAATAACATAGGCGATTTCTCGGGATTCATTAGATAATCTTTCATTGGGATTTTAACTTTTCTCATTTAAATGATATTTGGAAACTAGTTTCTATCTGGATTGGAGTTTTCTTAATCCTGAATCTCTTGGAACTTCAATTTGGACAATTTTTTGAATCACTCTATATAATTCCTGTACTTACTAGTGGTTACAAAATTTCTAGTGTCATATCCATTTATGTCTTCTTTGTCAAATATAACTTTAGCTCTGACATCTGTCAAAATGTTCTCTCATACTCAATTTTACCTTTTTGTTGGGCTTAAACAGAATGGTATCCGAAATTTTAACTGCATTTTTATTTAATTTGTATTCCAGGGTCGATTGGCAGTCTGTAATCTTGCTTGTGAGGGTCTAAACAGTGCATCTGTAAGTTCTGATATAGCGCTTAGGAAGATATATATTGGTGGACTCTCTCCAGACACTTCAACCGAAGTTTTGCTCAATTTCTTCAGCAGGCATGGGGAAATAGAAGAAGGTTCAGTTGCTTATGATAAAGAGACAAACAAATCAAGGTAAATTATAAGCTATTAGTGTAGCATTCTGTTTCTAACTATTAATTATTCATCATGAATCTTTAAAAATGCAGAGGATTTGGCTTTGTCACGTACAAAACTGCTGAGGCTGCAAAGAAGGCTATAGATGATCCAAATAAAATACTTGGGGTGAGTTGACCAAAGCATAATCAACCAGCTTACTATTATTAGTATAGTTAATCGTTAACTGGTCGTAGTAATGGAAATAAATTGAAGCAAATACAAAGATGTTCATATTTGTAGTGGTTAAATTTTTTAGATTCAGATCCGAATTCAAACACCCTTTCTTGATTTATTCAAATCTGAATTTAACCATGAATATTCATCGAATTTTTATCAAATATTAAACATGTATAATTTGTATTCTGTTGTTTGGGAATTATTAACTGAGAAGTTATTTTTATTTGGTTACAGAGATACTTTCATTTTTCCAAAGAATTTGATTATTACTGAGAAGTTATTTTTATTTGGTTACAGAGATACTTTCATTTTTCCAAAGAATTTGATTATTAAATGATAGCAACTCATAATTGAAAATTGTTTTTCCAAAGAATTTGATTATTAAATGATAGCAACTCATAATTGAAAATTGTTTATCTATAATTCTGAGTTATAAATGTGTAATTTGAATATTGGGTTAAGAAACCGATTTGAGACTCTTAAATCTCAAAATTAATGTAGAAGCTAAACTAAAAAATGCAAGGAAGGTGGAAACATACATTTGTTGTGTAATAATACAAGTCATGAAGGATCATACGTGTCAAGCCTACCAATCGAATATGCTAATGCTCATGTTTGATTCTTCTAATACCCGAGTACTAATAATCATTTGATTTCCGTTAGATAATCCTCTGAATTGAATTTGAGTGAATAATAATCAAATTATGATACTGTTCGATCAACGTACGTACCCAGCTTGATCCTTTGTTCTAACCTAATATGCCTATTTGTTTTGCAGGGGAGAAACATAACTGTGAAGCTTGCAGACACCAAGAACAAAGCTACACAAGGCCAGCTTCCACCAACTCTGCTTCCAATACCCATTCCCATTTCAGCTGCATATTCACAGCCTGGAAAGAACCAGGTTTCAACTGCAACAGCCTATGCTCCTTATCCGCAGCTTTTGCCATCATATCCTTCTGCTCCATATCCAGGTGCACCAACTCAGTACCCTCATCAATCGCACGGCTCATATTCACCGCTCTCAGCAAAGAAGGAACACATCGGTTTTCCTTCAGTTTCACCTACTGGACTTTCTGGATACCCGTATTATCGCTAGATTTCATCATGTTCAGGAGTTGTGTTAAATATTTTAGCAGTCTTGAGACAAATTGGCCATTTTCGCCAGAAAACCAAGAAACAACAGGCCATCTGCTGTGAAACATATTTAGTCTTGTATCTCTACTCTTGACCTATTTGCTCTAAATAGATTTTGCTAGTTCTGCACCCTCTGTAGTTTGAAACATATGTAGAAATTTAAAAACTCCGACATTTCACATGTGCATCATCAAATATAGTTTTTTACTGCATATAAATTAATATATCTGTTTTCTGGGTATAATACCAAGTTAATTTATCTCACAATCTTATTTTGTTAGCAAAAATATCAGGGTTTGATAAGCTCTTTTCTTTTATTACCTTCTCTATTTTCTATGCTTTGTAGTCATTGAATTCAAAAACTAAAGGAAGAAATTGAAATCCGTACATAGCAGCATTATAACTTCGTCATACAAACACGAACAAGATACGCGAAGTACTATACATCACATTTCTTGCTTGCATGAAGGCAGCGGTGCTCCACACAAGCACTTGTTATGCGCAAAGAATGAAGAATTGAACTGAGCAAGTTTCTTCGGTATTTTGCCACACAACCTGTTATAGCTCACGTCCAAGTACTGCAGGCCAGCAACATCAGCGATTTGACTTGGTATTCTCCCGTAAATCTCATTATGACTAATGTCTACTCTATCCAAGCTCTTCACAGGGAACTCCACCTTTGAAAGATCGAAGGTGAGCTTATTGCTTGCCAGTATAATATCAGAGACGAGCTTAGATTTCCCGAACAGTACTGAAGCATCCCCCGTTAACTGGTTATTCGCCAGGTTTACAGTGATAAACTTCCTATCGTCGAAAGTTTTTGGTATGTCGCCCGTTAGCTTGTTATCAGAAAGATCAAGCTGAATGTGCGAGACCTTTGTTTTTCTGAAGAGCGTATCGGGGATGCTCCCTGATAGCTGATTGTCCGATAAATATAGTAGGCTGAGGCTAGCAAGATCCCCGAGGGATGCAGGGATTGGCCCTGACAGTTTGTTTCCGTTCAGATTGATTGCCAGTAAATTGGATGAAAACTTTGAAAGGAACGAAGGGATGGCACCCGAGACGCTGGTATTGGATATTATTAAGAACTGGAGGTTACGGAGTCTTAGTAGTTGGTGAGGTATTGAGCCAACAACGTTGGGAAGATCTCGGAGGATCAGGAACTGGAGGGCGGAGAGGCGGCTGATGGACGGAGGGATCGGACCGGCGATGCCGGCATTGTCGGTGATTTGGAGGACGTCGACGCGGCCGGTGGTGGCGTTGCACTGGATGTAGTCCCAGTTGCAGCAGTCTGAGGATGAGTTCCATGTTGCAGGGAATGAGTTCGGAGGGAAGGAGTTCATGATGGAGAGTAGAGTTTGGTGGTCATGTTTGTGACACGCAGAGGAGAGGGAAACGAGAGTGAAGATGAGGAGAGTGAGAATGTTGGCCATTTTTATCGAAGTTGGGTGGTGTTTTTAGCGTTATTTATAGGGCTTGGTCTTTTTTTTGGTCGTTTTTGATGGCTCGTTCAAATGCTTGGGGCGTGTTTGGACCAGGAACCAGTGGGTGCATAGGTGCTGGATTTGAGCCAGATTGAGATTGCATGGTGGGGTGTAGCCGTGTAGGACATCAAAACTACTGGGGAGGATATTTAAGGAGGTAAAAGCCTTTACACATGGGATTCCACTGATCGGATCTCATGGTTGGAATTATATATATTATCTTGATGTTGAATGGTTGCCTATGAATATTCTGATAATCAAACGAATCGAATACCCGTTCAATTAATTCTACTCGTTTATAAGCGGAATACTAAAGTATTTGTTTATTGTTAAATAAACAGTCAAATGGGACATAATTGTAAGTCGCTGGTTGCAGCTAGAACTCTTTTTTGCGGATGCTGTTGTTGTATTTGTCGGTCATATTTGGGGAAAGAGACAGCTTCTACAGTTGCAGTTGCATTAATTATGTAAAAAAATTTACGGATGCAGCTATGAGATCTTGTATCCAGAGTGTAGCATATCCGTATAAGACTTCGCTCTACGCTCATATAATGTTGGTGAGGTACGTGTTGCTTATATCGTTAAGCTACATATCTCATATAGATCAGATGATTATTGTGGCAGAGTACGTAATTGTTGTTGAGGATGTGTATAATTTGATTAGTTGATTTTATAAGACTCGTATTGACTGCAACGCTGAATAATGGGGTATATTGTATAATTGTAGGTAAGTTGGATTTATAGAGGCTTTAGCTTTGTTTATCTTAGTTCTTCACAAATGACAGAAAACTGCCTAAAGTTTTCAGATGGACATTTTTACCTCCGAACCTATAATCAGAAATCATGAAGTTTTTTTGCCCCCTCTTCAAAAACGATCATGTACGTGTTTATAAGCTTAGAGGTAATTGTCATGTTTTGTTAATATATAAAATTCTACATTCAAATTAACTTTGAGAAATTGAAATGAAGGGAGGATCTTTTGTGATTTCTACAAACCGTAAAAAGTTTTGAGGAATTTTTTTGCAACTCAACCTTAGGCCATGTTTGTTTAATATTATTTGATGGCCTTTCATTATTGCGATAGTTATTCTAGCCTAAGTAGCACTTATATACCTTAGGCCATGTTTGTTTTTTATCCGGGGACTAGTGGGTATTATATAATCTTGGGACCATAGTCCTCAAATTGGGTCATCCTAGGACTATTTGAGTCTACTCTAATATTTATTTTTACACAGACTAACATTCGGACTAGCTCAAAATAATCCATATTAGTGTTTGATTTTAGGGGGATTATGAATGTTTAGACTAATATCATAGTCAAAATAACTTTTTCGCACTCTAGTCAACTCATATTGTATTAATGCATTTGTTAAGCGAATTTTTTCATCATGTGCATTAAGCGTACTTGGACATAGTATCAATAAAGTGGTTCACCGTGTCCAATTCAGTGGCTAAGCAAGCAAACATGATATATTTGATGTTCCTAAAGTTTGATCCCATATTTTTTGTTGTTGTCTGCTACTCGTGATTTTAAAATATATCAAAACTCCCTTAAAAATAATGGAAAAACTCCCTTAAAAAAGAAAATAAGTGGGCAATTTTGTCAAATAAATCTTAATACCCTAGATAATTAGTACCTAGATTATAAAGATAGGGGATGAGATGAGTTTAGTCTCTCTTGTGAGTATAATTAAGTAGTTCCAGCTTGAAAATAGTCCGAACCAAATAAAAAATAAACATAAGCTAAAGAGGTGGGTCTGGACTATTTTAAAATAGTACCTTGTCAAAAAAGCAAATAGGGCCTTATAGTTTTACACACTTTGCACTTATATACTCTTATTTGTTTTCCGCAGCATTTGTATACTCTAATCGTCTAAAATTGGCACATAGTACCCTCTATTGTGCAAACGGGAAAGTTTCCACCTAAATGTTTTCATTTGATACTCACGTGCTAATTGATTCTATCGTGTCTTATGAGAACATTCAGATAAAACTTTTCTCATTTACATAATAGAGACTACTAACATGCGTATGTAAACAACTTAGGATACATAATGCTGCTAAAAAACAAATGAGGATATATAAATGCATAGTGATTGAAACTATAAGGTAGTTAAATGCTATTTTGCCAATTTTTTTTTTTTTGAATAAACTAGTATCATGTAGCTCAACGGTAGCACGCTAGCTTCCCTAGCATAACGGTATAGGGATTGATACCCGCATCTAAATTTTTGTTATATAACTTAAATGTACAATTTTTCCAACCATAAAAGTTTATAAACTAATTACTTTGTAAAAAAAGTTTTGCAGCCTTTTCTTTTATGTACTGTTTGTCCGCTTTGATCATCCTTTCATCTCTCTGAACATATTTTCTTAAACAATAATATGAATGTGGATGTGTATCAAAGCAGACGCATTATTTTAACATAAGATTTTAAAAAAAATGAAAAGGCATATCGACATCACTTCTCAAAATTTGTTATTATTCACTTTCCATCTTTCTATCATTTATGTGACCTAAATGTTCTCTTTTACCATGTATTGGGATGTAGCTCAATTATAAGTTAAAATTTACTTTGTAGAATGGTTTTTTTTTTTTTTGCCTTTCATTTTATTTATTATAAATTTACTCATATCGTTCTTTATTTTTTTCGTTTGGACTTAGATAGTTTAAATTAAGAAAAAAAAATATTTTGGCCCCAAAGAAAGATCCATATCAAGAAGTAGGTGAAGGAAAAATGTGAAGGAAAATGTGAACAGAAATTTATTGATTAGTGAAAATAAAGGGAATATATGTTAAACAATTGAGAGAGCGGTCAGTTCGGTTTGTCCTGATGAGAATTTTTCTCAAATACAATCAACCAATATTTTTGTAAAATTGAACTGATCCAGCAAAATTCAGTTGGTCAAGTCACTTTAGTCACAACTGCTTATGTTGCAAAAACTAGTTGCATATAAACTGGTCGTTATTACGTAACTACAGTTCATGAACTGTAATTTTTTATAAAAATAAAAAAATTTACAGTTCATGATTCAGTCTCACAAGCTTAGCAGAAGCTGAATCAGGTCGCTGCCATCTGATGCAGTTTAAAAAAGTCATGAATCCCTGAACTTGACCTGCGGGGAACGCTTCTGCAATCCTTAATCAGTCGATTTTTTTTTTTGGCGTTTTATCTTCATTTTATCTTACTTTTATTTTGGACCTCCAAACTTTCATATTTATAACTTACACATCTAAATTCATTAACTTGTTTTAAATAGCACCCCTGATATTTGCGATTCACACCCCTAAATCAAATAGATTGCCTTAAGGGTAATTAGTATTCAAATCCCTTGTGGTTTCCTCCACTTGGCACATTTATATCCTCACTTGTTTTTCACGACGCTTATATATACCGTAAAATTTTAATATAAAACTTGCACTCTAATACCTTCAATTATGAAAACATGAGAATTTTCCCTCCAAAATTCCCACAGACACCCATATGCTTAGTTTTAGACCTATTAAATCCTTAATTCTGTTTTCTATTTTAAATCTACTTGAATTCTAAACAGAATTTGAATAGGTTTAAGAGTGAATTTTAATAAAAATTAAGAGCTAAAAAGTTTTAAACTTAGCACAAAAGTGTCACATAAGAATTTTCGGGAAAATATTCCCATGTTCGTATAACTCAAGACGTTAAAGTGCAAACTTTAAAAACTTTAGGGTATAGAAGCACAAGCCAGATGAAACTAGAAGGTATCCGAGTGCTGATCAGCCTCGTTTTAAACAACACCACCTTTCAAGCAAATATAAACATTTGGATACAAACATGAAGATCGATCTATTAGGGGCAAAAATAAATGTATAACAGAATGCGGGGTCTAATGTGTGAAGCCCATATTTATTTCAGAGCATGAAAATAGTCAATAGGCGACTATTGTCATTACCGTCCTTTGTTTTTTTAGAAGCTCTCGCTCTCACCAAACTTCAAAAGGAAAGAAGAAGGGCTGCTTTGCTTTGAAACACAGCTGGCTCTGCCCAATCTGGTCACGAGATGATGTTTCCAGCTGCAGTATGTTCATACCTTTTTTTTTTACTACAATTGAACTTTTCTTCTGCGTAATAATTTAGGTTCTTCAATGCATTAGATTTTGAAATATTGGTGTTTTGAATTTTTACAATATATAGTTGTTTAAATGTGAAGAAAATTTGCTTTTAGAAAAGAGAGAAAGATGGAGATAAAATAAGAGTTAGACTAGTAGAATATACTCTAATCAAGGGTATTGAAGTGAAACGGTTGCTTGTTAATTAAGATTTAAGCAATTATATAATAGATTTAAACCAAATTTTCACTTGGGTTAGTTGTGTGAAGTCTACTCTTTCACTCACCATGACTAAGGGCTATCTCCTCTACTAGATAACTAAAACGTATAAAAATGAATAACACAAGTGTTGCAATGCCTAATGGGTAGAAATCGGGAATAGGGGTGCTATTGACACAGGCCAACTCTTGACTTTTTTGGGACAAAGCCCTAAGCCCCAACCACTAGGCCGCTTGTAGGGGGGAACGTGAGCTTATTTGATTTCAATGGAAGTGAGCAATAGACACAATACTCCTCAAGTTTACACAATGCATAGAAAGATCAAAACATGTCTAGAACACACAGTAGCCTCTGGATCAGCTAGTGAATGTTTCACAAACTTCTTCACTTGGATGCATGCCTTTCTGCATAATTTTCATTCGCTTCCCATTAAATTTTAGAGAAAGTGGAATTCGCTGAAGTGTTGACATGACATCCGCACTTCTTGATAGGTATTTTTCTTTCTTGTATGAATTTCGATTGAGAATTTTATATAAGGTCTTATTTCTGTTCCTCATTGCATTCTATGCATGGTTCAGAACCGCCCGTTTGCACGCGGACGGTTCTGATATGATCCATAGGGTCTCATTTCCTGGTTGTAAATAAATGCTATAACAATAGCAACAATGTGTTATATGAACCAATAGCATATCTTCTTTATGCGGACCCCATCAAAGGTATTTATTTGCATTAATTATCAAGGGAGATTTGTAGCTGTAAGACCCACGGTAAGGAACAGTATTTCTCTACAATCAGCAATGTACGTAGAGAGGATTATCAAAGCTCAGCATATGCCCATTCCTTTCTCTACCCCTGCTTCCCTCAAAGGTCTCGTTCAAAGCCCTATAAAACAAACCCCCAGCCCTCTCTCTTTCTCTACATTTCTCTATGCTCAAAGAGGCAAACATTACTTACAAGATGGCTACCAACATTATCATTTTCACCACCTTTATCCTCTTCACAACCTCCATCTCCTCGGCATGCAACCAGCAAGACAAAGCAGCTCTCCTGTCCTTCAAGAAGTCCTTCCCCTCCGCCAACTTCCCCTCCTGGACCCCACACACTGACTGCTGCCGCTGGACCGGCGTCGAGTGCGACGACTTCAGCGGTCGTGTCAGCTTCCTCTCCCTCCATGAAAAACCCGCCCTGAACGGCACCCTCCCCTCCTCCATTGGCGACCTCGTCGGCCTCCAAGTCCTCAGCCTCAGCAACTTCCCCAACCTCAAAGGCCCATTCCCTCCCAAATTCAAAAATCTTAAGAACCTCCAACATCTCACTATCTACAAGACGTCTCTCTCTGGCTCCATCCCTAAATATTTCTCCACCTTCACTCAACTCAAACAACTCAGTCTCATGGCCAGCCGGTTCACGGGCCCCATCCCTTCTTCCCTCGGCGAGCTCAGCGAGCTCTCTATTATCGACTTCTGGGGGAACCGGCTCGCCGGAAAAATCCCTGGTTCTCTCTTCAGCATGTATAAAGGTTCTGATCTGGTTGGGTTTGATCTCTCTCAGAATAAGCTGACAGGCAACATCCCGCAATCTTTTGGTAATGTTAGTTTCACGAGTGTGAACTTGATGAGCAACAAGCTCACCGGCGATGCCTCGTTTCTGTTTGGGAGGTCGAAGCCTGCAACCCAGATAATTCTGGCTTCGAACAGGCTGGCGTTTGATCTTAGTAAAGTTGAGTACCCTGAAAAGAATTTGGAGTATGTGGATATCAGCCATAATGGGATTTATGGGAGGATATCAGAGAATATTGTGAGATCGACGAAGCTGGGTCATTTTGATGTGAGCTACAACAGGCTTTGTGGCAAGATACCGGCGAAGATGAGGAACACGGTGGATGCCTCGTTCTTCGAGCATAACAAGTGTCTCTGTGGGAAGCCACTGCCGGCCTGCAAGTGATTGTAGCATGGAGGAGGCTTTAGATTCTGCACATCATCAATCAATGACATCCTTCCTTTTACTGAAGAAGTATTAGTTCACTGTTTCTGCAGTAGTTTCATGATTCGTGTGTTAGAATGTAGCTAGCTGTTGGTTGGTGATTAGTGTTGATCCCAAGTAAGGCACTAATATCTGAAATAGTTCCTCTATCTCGAGTATCAGATTATGTTAGTTATCTTTGATAAAGCTTTTACTTCATAATGTGCTAATTTTATATGAACAATTGCTTGGGTTTACAATCTTAATTAACTCATCACATGTAGATATCAAATGGGTTTCTCATTAAACTAGGGATCGGGTCTTAATAGTGGTATTTATGCATAACCCTTACAATGACAAGGGTACTTCACAACATATTAAACCAGGTGGTTCTTTTAGGTCTCGACCATCCATCATCTGTGCTTACCTTCTCCATGTAAATCAGCACCAATAGAATTCTACCTATCCTAGGTCCATATTCTTAGCTCCGATCATGCTTATTTTAAAAATTTTTTCCCTATTTTGTTTTCAGATTTACTCTCCAAATTTGACTATTTGCTAATTTACCCTCGTATTCTTGACATTGGGCTAAGACACCCATTTCATCTCACGCTGTTAGGGTTAGTAACCCACTTTCTGAAGGTTGAGTATAATTTATTTGTGACAAGCTGGACATACACGATGCTTATGTGCATCTTGAGGAGCAGGACTAAGGATATATTAATATATAGGAAGTATATATTAAAGAAATTATGATTGAAAGCAATATATGAATATGATTAGGAGAATCTTAAAGATAATTGAGTTTAGTCTGACATTACGCAGCACAAATACTCCTTCATAGTAGTGTAGACAAATATATATATAATATATATATATAATATATAATATATATATATATATTTATATATATATATATATATATATAATGTGTGTGTGTGTGTGTAGAGTACTCGTCGGCTTTATATCAATGAGAATCTACAATTCATATTATTTAACATCAATTATTAATCAATGAGAATCTTAAAGATAATTGAGTTTAGTCTGACAATACGCAGGCACAAAACTCCTTCATATCGTGTGAGACAAAATATATATATATATATATATATTAATATATATATAGTATATAATTACAATACATACACATAACATACATACATACATAACACATATTATATATATATATATATATATATATATATATTATATATATATATATATATATATATATATATATAATATATATAATATATATATATGTTGTGGAGTAGTACCCATAGGCTTTTATCATCAATGAGAATCTACAATATCCTATTATTTAACATCAATTATTAATCAAACTTCTTATAAAAGAGAATCCCTAAAATATTATTCTCATTTTTTAACCTATTAGAATGGTGAAGAAGTAAACCGATGGATGAAAACTAAATAGTTTTAATCAAAGGAACAAAAGAGAAAAATAGATCCAAATGACGGAAGAGGAATTAGATGGTGGAGTTGGTAGTGATCAAGAGATTAGTCAGATGGAGATCAAGAAAATGATGAACAATAAAAGCTACTATGCTTGCCAGTTGCCCCTCAAAATCATAATAAATTCAAACATAACAGTGGAACTCTAGAAATGAACTAAATTGCCAGGAGGAGAGAGATAGAGAACGAAAACTGGGGATTTGCTTACAAAGTGTGTCATCCTATTCCAAAAAAAAAGATCTGGAATATCAAAGGTTTCTGCATGATTGTACATTAGACGCCCAAGTGTTTCCATACATACAATTTACACCTGTAAATTCATTAAATTAGTTCAAATAATACCCTTGAATTCGCAATATGCACCCCTAAAACAATTAGGTTGTTTTAGACAACACCAACATATCAAACAAATATGAAGATTTTGGGCAAAGTTACAAATGCAAAGTTTTTGGGGGAGTAATATGAGAAACCTTTTATCTTTACAGAGTGTGATTGCACGTGACTAGGTATGCTATCAGTTCTCTAGGTTCCACTACTCTCATTTACTGTTCTATAGTTTGAGGAAGCTCTCACACTCAGCAATCTCAAAAGTAGAAAGGCTTTGCTTTTCAAACACAGCTGGCTCTACCCAATTGGTCACTATAATGATTTCAGGAGCAGTACGTCCTTAACCCCTGCACTATAATTGAACCTAATTCTGCATGCGCCACTCTGTAGTATTGGACTCCTACTTTTATTGTGGTAGGTCAATATAATAATTAGGGTTCTTCACTACCATTGCAAACAAACAAGATTTTGAAGTATAAATATTTCAAAATAGAAAATTTTCTGGAGCTTATAAATGGACCAGAATGTTAGTCATCTGAAATTAGTTTATCTTTCTCTAATATCAGAGCATGTTCGTTATCTTTGACAAAGCTCTCCTTTCATAATATACTGCTTCTAAATGATCAATTTAATGGGTTTACAATCTAAATAAACTCATCACATGTAGAAATCAAATGGGTCGCTTATCAAACTATGGATTGGGTCTTCAAAGTGGTCTTTCTTTATCCATAACACCTGGAGTACTTGATAGGGTACATTTGTTTTAGAGAAAGAAACACCCCGCAAAGATAAATGATGAGGTTTCAAAGTAACTTCTCTTGGTATTATGCCCCCAGGTTTTTCTATCTTCAAAATTTGAAAATAGGTACTTAAGAAGTAACCTGATAATTCTATTTAGGTATTGAACCTCCATTATCTAATTCACACAGAGAATAACAAACAAATACATGAAATAAAATTGCTAATCCGTACAGGGGAACAAATCATCAGTAAACTAAAATAGATATATTTTTCAGTACTCACAAAGTATATCATGCGAACCAAGTCAGTCAGGACTGAGATCTAGTGGTCATCTTCATACAATCCAGGGCAATTGACTTCCAGTGCCTCCGCGGATTCATACTGGAAATGGAACCGAAAACAATTAAGAGTAGACAAGTAGTCATTCTACTGGAAAATGAATATAAAAAAGATGAATCTAAACAAATTTGAACTATGTCAAGTATGTGTTGTGTAAGTTGAATAATTATCTAACAATCGAATCGAATACCTGGCATCCACAGTAGAGGCAGTATCGGTGTTCGACTCTCAGCTTCATCAAAATGTCATTCAGATCCTGCAAGGGAATCACACATGTCAATCACTTCAGTAAGAGTGTAAGTTTCAAAGACTGGATAAAATCAGGATATATCTCAAGGTAGAAATTATCTTTTAAGGATCTTGAATAGTCTTTGATGAAAACACTACTAAGGTTGAGCTGTAGCCAAAGAACAACTTTGCTCTTATGTAATATTTGACCAACATCAACTCATTTCTTAAAGGATGTTTGCATGTAGAAATATTATTCCATATAAGTGATTTTTATACATATTTTATACATACAAAGTACGATTTACATAGCCCATTTATGACTTTGATATTACTTGCCCATCATCGGGATTTCACAAGAGCAGCAACATTGGGATTTTACAACTATCAGTTTCCATTAAAGAAGTTGCATATTTTGATCAAACCACCAAATATATCCAAACTATCTCCATTCCACCAAAGAGACTATACAGAACTAGGTTAATAATCACAGGAACTAGTTTAACCATCAGCAACTGATACTTTGCTGTCAATCATCTGAATTAAAAGTTATCACATTCCAAATTCCAATTAACTGGCTATCACTCCAGAAAAAAAAACATAGTAGTATTTTGGCACATCAACTGAACGTTAGAAATTGTATCCCAAGGGTTGAGCATATTTAATCTTTGCTTCAGGTGAAAAGCTACAGTCTATTATATATTATTATGTCTGTTTTCTTTCTTGTCTTCTTTTTAATCTGAATTTAGCTTGCTATACAAAGGAATTATAAGGCACAGCGCAAAATAAATAAAGTTTTGAGAAAGTAACCATGAAGCATTAATAATGGCAAAATTAAGTGCAGGACTAAGTATTTAATTATGGTTCTGAAGAAGACACAATTTTTAAGGATGATGGATAGTTATTACCAAAAGCTAGAATATGAGCATAGGAAACCCCTCAGAATCAAGGTGAGATATAAGGGAAAATATTGTAACAGAAAAAATATAAATCTAATAAGAAAGAGGAAACTTCATGTATGACCCACAGAATGGAGGTGTTAAAATTCTAATGTTCTGGATGATAATGAATATACTCCTACACTTGAGAGTAATCACCACAAGAAGCGGTACTAAAAGTGAAGCACAGCTAATTGCAACTCAGAATACTACTTGCAATATCACATAAACCGTTTGAAGCAAAACGTAGTTTTGTTCCTAAATGTTACAAAATATAAGACTCATAGTTCCCAAATCACAAGCCATTTTTTGCACTAATAGACTTTATCTGACTGAGTTGACTTCTATGTAATATTCACAATCTACTATTGCATAAAGCACTGTCCTCTCATGTTTTTGACTTGAGAATTCTATAAGATCCAAGATATCCTGAGGTTCATAGTGTGAAGGTGTCAAACAAGTTAACATCATTTAACCTCTATTAGGCCTTTGATGATTTGTCAAAGTAAACATAAAAAAAGAATTTACAGCAACGATCCACAGTAAAAGGATTATATCAACAAAATGAACAATTGCAATTTTGTTTGTTTTATAAACAACCTCTAGACTATTATGAAAGTATTACACTGATGAAGTGCATATAGTCAAGGCCTTTTATGCAAGTAGTAAAAGGTGTTAGTAAGTATATAGAAAGAGCACAGAAGGCTATCCAAACCCAACGCTGTAAGACAAGTCTAGATTTTCAATAAAAAGAGAGAAAAAGTTCTTTCCAATTTCATAAGCACATGATCCACTTTCGGTTTCATGGTCCTAGATGTTTCCGTTCCATAAACAAAACAACTGATATTCCTCTAAAGGTTCGACGCATTTGAATACTTCTAAGAGTTTATTGCTGTTATATGCAAGGGGTATCCCGAGACTCTAGCATAATGTACTCTCTCAAATAAACAATAGAAATATAGTTTCAGATTCATGCAGGCAAAAGTCTATTCCTTTCCTCCCATCATTCATAAAAGACTTTAAGAGGGGTATAGATTGAATTGAGTAATTATTGATAGACTCCCAAAGGAACTCAACATCAAGATATGGTTTAACAGTTCGCTTCTGTTCCACATAAAGCACAGTGCTCGTACTCGGAAAGGAAAAAAAAAAGGTGGAAGCATAGTTACAAAGTGGGAAACATCAAGACCAATGGTCAAATTACTTCAAAAAAAGTGAAAAGGCTGGCATTTTGTAATGACACCTGAAGAATTAAACAAGTTCCAGAAGGTTATCGACTACTGAAAGTTTGAAAATTTCCTCATTAAACAATAGGGCTTATTTAACATCCCCAACATACATGAATAAGTTAAGTACATCCTTTAAAGGATTTAGTCCATACGAATTTTCTATAAAATATGAATATGAAGAGAAGTATGGAACATTAAATTTGACGAACCAATTAAATACAGTTAATAGAGTTATAAGTAAAAAGGATTAAGTAATTCAAATATAAAGACTCTAGTATTCAACTCAGACTCCTATATGATCTGATAACCTAAATGTTCGAGTCTGTTAGCCCCTTGACAGAAATGGTTTAACTTTGTAGTGTTCATTTAAGAATGATCTCAAGTTATGGTACGGTAAATTAGTTACTAAAACACCATGTAAGAATTTGATCTCCTTTAGCTTTGCATATGAGCATGCATTTATAAATGTGTTTTTGCACATTTGAATGTTCATAACTGTTCATATTGCATTAAAACTATGATAGCATTTGAGTGTTCATATTGCACTAAAACTATAATAATAATGAAGAGTAAAGGTAGTGTAGGAGACCTGGTTTAGAGCCTTATTATCATAAATAGACCTCGACAAGCAAAGTATAGAAACTATATCTATATCAACCAGAGGTGAACAACAACCTATTTATAAATATTAAACCAGAGGTGAACAACAACCTATTTGTCAATATTAAAGGCCTGCTAGGAGCTTCATAGTGAACCAAGAGTTGGAGCTGAAGCACTTCAATCCTTAATGTTAGGTCTCATGTTTATGAGCCTACTCCCTAATCTTATTTTGATGATTTACAAACAATCGTTAACATCGTTTGTCTAGTATTTGTGTTTTTGTTTATTAGGTATTCTAGACAAACATCGATGTTGGAGATTGGTTGGAATTACGCTTTTTACAAGTGTTTAAGGGTGTTTTAGGTTTGTTTTACAAGTGTTTATGTGAAGAGAGTTTCACAAGAGGAGGAGACCATATCTTTGATGTTTGGGCTTCAATCTCAATCTCTCTCACTCTTGATTCTTGGAGAAATTTTTCTAAACTTATCTTCTAGCATATTTACATTTTGATTCTTATATATATATAAATATATTTGTGCTAGTTTGATTTAAGTTTAGTTTTATTGTTATTTATTATTTCACACAACCATTGAGCTTGAGTATTTTCATACATTGTATAATTTGGGTTGGTGGTGTGATTGAGTGAGCTTACATTGAGTTCTCATCCATTGTAGAGAACAAACCCTTGTATTTGAGCTTATTTGTGAGATCACTTTGTAATACACAAGTACACCGAGAGAAGTGTGTGGTGAGAGACGAGGTCGATTCCAAGAGGAGTGACATCGGTAATAAAGCCTAGGGAGAGGTTATAAATCCGAACACTTGAGGAAGATGACACATGAGAGGCCAACACTTAGAGGGTATATTGTGTGATTGCATTTGTGAGAGTTGTGAAAGTTTTCGGTGAGCTAGAAAACCGATTGTGTGAGTTGTAAACGTTTTCGATGAATGTTAAAAACCGGTTATGATAGTGGAGTTTCTCATGAAGAGTGAGGAGCAGAGACGTAGGTCGAGGGTGACCGAACTCCATGATCATATTGTGTGTTTGAGTTTACCTTGGCGTATTATTTTTGTGCTCATTGCCTATCATATTTCTATATCGTCATTGTCTTATAGTTATATCACCATTTGTTTATTTGTTATCCTTACATATATCACATTGTATATCATACTTGCTAGGATATTGTTAATAAGTTTTAGTTTGGCATTAATATCGGATTAGATTAGCAAATATCCTATTCACCCCCCTCTAGGGTAATTTCACTTAAAACAAAATGACTTTAGAAATAAAACAATAGGGTTACCAGAATTTTGTAAACAATGTATAAGGGGAACAGACTAATTAAAAAAGGTAATAAAAAACCTTGAGATGAAAAGAGTAGATTACAAGTCTTTCTCTTTCTAGTTAACTTTGAATGACATAGCACTCTTCAACATTTTGTTGAATTTATCAAGGTTTGTTATCACTTAGATGACTATAGCATGCTCTATGACAGTTAGGAAAAACGCCATTCCAGCAACACATTTACAAAGTCTTGGCAAATGAAAAGAGTACATATAATGATATAAACACTGATTATTAGTAAAGTTACCTCCTCTGTGATCTCCTCTTCCTCCTGTTCTTCCTCTACCTTCTCCTCATCATTGGCATCCTTCTCAGGCTCAACAATTTCCCTATTCTCCAACTGAGCTAGTGCGCCCTCTGCCTTCTTATAGTCCCAAAAAATCCTCTTATTTCTCCACTGATTCTTCTTCCTTGATCCAAACTCCTCCATCAATTCCTCTTCATTCCTCCTCTGCCTTACCTCCTTAACTCTCTCTGTCCTCTTTGCCTCTTCCCGTGTACCAATCCCTTCTCTCGACCGTCTGATGTCAAGCCCCACTGGTTCCGACCGTCCAACCCCACCCTTCCCAAGTGCGGAGCCGGGATTGTAACCCATGTTCTTTAGCATCTTGAACCCTATGTTTGACTCAGGGATCGCCGATTCTAGCCCAGCTAGGGTTCGCTCATCCTCTTCTCTTTGCTTCTGCTCTCTCTCAAGTTTCCGCCGTTCTTGCCAATTAAGGCCTTTGAGTTTCTTTGCTTTAGGGATTTGAGGTGGTTGAGTCTTGACAAGGGGTTTCTACAAAGAGTGAATGATCAAGGTTGTGGTTAGCTCCTTCGGCTACCAAATAACTAGAATTAGTAGGTCAATCAAAATTTGGCAATTTTATCCCTTCAAACATGGAAGCGTTAATTTCGCACCCCTAATAAAGATCTAGGATAAATTACAGAAAATTCCTTAGTTTTGCAGGATTGACATAAAACCTCTTAAGGTTGCAGGATCGACATAGAACCTCCTAAGGTTGCAGGATCGACATAAAACCCCTCGAGGTCCTAAAAGTGACACTTTACCCTCTCTCTTTAACTTCTTCAAAAATATACTTGGATGTAAATGCTAATAATAACAGGATATGGCAAATATATGTACCTCTGTATAAAACATATATGTGATCCTTATTCTAAAAATTTGATGATTAATTGCTTAGATATCGAAAACGAGAGAGTCAAATGGCACTTCTAAAACCTTACGGGGGGATCTTCTATCAATCATGAGAATCTTAGGGGAACTTTGTTTTGTTATTTACCCTAATATTTAAGATCAGGGATAGAGTGTCCTTGAGTTATATCCAGAGTACGAAAATTTACACGTCTGCTCAATCAAGTTGACACTAAGGCTTTTAATGCCTAAATTTCAATCTGACATGAAAATTTAAGGATTTACGTTCCATCTGCTTAAGAGAGTAGAAAATCTAGGGTTAGGGTTCGTGGGGACAAGAGAGGTAAAAAAAAGAAAAAAAGTACTATTTTGGAAGTCAATCTAAAGTAGGAATATTAGTTTTACATCCACTAATTATGGTTTAGGATTAGGGTTAGGCTGATCTCGCATTTATATGTCCAATTAGGGTTTATCTTCTTAAAATCTGCCCAATTGAAGAAAAAATTAAGGCTCTGGATGCCAAATTTTTGAATTGAACATGCCAATTTAAGGGTTTAGGTTCTATCTTCCCACGACAATAGGAAGACTAGGGTTAGGGTTAGGGTAGACGGTGACAGATGATGAAAAAAGAGAGTACCTTTTTGGAGGTGGAGGACGAGGAGGAAGTAGAGACTTCTGGCGGGAGGAAGAGGGAGAGATCGCCCATGTAATCTTCTTCCCCATCGCACGCGTTCTCGTTTCCCGCCATTGATGACGGATTAAAAGCTCGGAATCCGTTGCAGCCGAGGAGGCGAAATGCTAGGGCTGGGCGTATTCGGTTCGGTTCGGTTTTAAGCCCAATCCGCATCCAATCCGAATTTTTCGGATTCTCAAAACTCTCATCCAGATCCAGATTTTTTTCCCTTCATCCGAATATTCGGCCTAACCGAAATTCGGTTTGGTTCGGTTCGGTTTCGGTTTTGAACCGAATTAACTCTATTTCATAAAAAACTGGGTAAGTTTTAGTTATATCCAAAACTGAAAAGAAGCAATCAAAACTGAAAAGAAACAATCAAAACTGTACTAAGCCACTTAATCAAATTGTATGATCTGAATATAACTAGCTTAATACACTAGGAGGACCATGTAATTATGTAGCCTTTTTTAGAGAAAGAACAATGTTTGGCAGGCACACACACCTTTTGATGATTTTCGTTAATTTTTAGCTGCCTTTTTCTCATCAAGAATTATCTTATATCCTTGACAGCCTATACTATAGGTTAATTTGATATCCAGCACCAGCAAGCTGTATTCATGTTATCACTGAAATTTGACCAAAACACTAAATTTATCCTTCAACCTCAACATCTTGTATTGATTTACGGAAATCTCACTTAACTATATCAGCGTACTCAAATATATGTTAGTATAAACTCCACCCCACAATTCTTAAATGCTAAACATTCAGCCATAAATTTTCTTCACACCCAAGGCTCGCAGCTACTTTTTGTTTAAGAATTCGGTTCGGTTTTTTTTGGGCGGTTCAGGGGTTCAAACCGGATCCAGACCGGTTTAATTCGGTTCGGGCGGTTTAGAGACTTCTTCTCATCCATTTAATTCGGTTCGGTTAACCGATCCGTTTTTTCGGGCGGTTTTTTCGATTGAACCGGTTTGTTTCGGTTTTTGCTCACCCCTACGAAATGCCGCAAGCCAGGGAGTGGGGTAATATATATATATATATATTTCTATGTAAATATTAGTATTAACTATTTTAAATATTTTATTTATATCTTAGTCTGTCCTAATCATAATTATATCTTATCCTAATTTTATGTGAACTATCTATAGTTCAACAATTTAAAAATATATATTCATAAAACATATAAACCATATTTATAATATGGGAAAAATGTGTCCAGGCCCCAAAAACAGAAAGTTCATGTGACCCGCCCCCTTGTATTTTGCCCCATGTGATTCAGCCCCAAAAAGTACCATTTAATATTTCAAGGCCCCTCCACGTCAGCGGTATAAAAAAAGAGATTGTATTTTGAAAAAAAACCCAAAATTACCCATCCACTTATCTTCCCTAGACGTCTGGTCCACAAACTACATGGAAAGTCACGCCCATTAATGCGATCTGATGGAAAAATAGAGGGAAATTTCCCGCCCTTTTTTGAACTCTATCATGAGCAATAACTCATGTTAGTTCTACCGAATAGATCTAACATGGTACCTATTAGAACTAACAAAACAGACAATAGAACTAACAAGAGCGTTAATAGAACTAACAGAACTAACACACTGAGCATTAGAACTAACAAAACAGACAATAGAACTAACAAAACAGACATTGTACCTAATAGAACTAACAAAATAGTCAATAGAACTAACAAAACAGACAATAGACCTAACAAAACAGACAATAGAACTAACAAAACAGACATTGTACCTAATAGAACTAACATGCTACACATTAAAACTAGCATGCCACTGTACAAAACTAACACACTGATCATTAAAACTAACACGAAAACACATAGAACTAACACACTGAGCGTTAATGGAACTAACTCTCATTACAACTAACAAGAGCGTTAATAGAACTAACAAAATAACTAACACAACTAACACACTGAGCATTAGAACTAATAGAACAGACAATAGACAATAGAACTAATAAAATAGTCAATAGAACTAACAAAACAGATAATAGACCTAACAAAACAGTCTTTTAGAACTAACAAAACAGACAATAGAACTAACAAAACAGACAATAGACCTAACAAAACAGTCAATTAGAACTAACACACTGAGCATTAGAACTAACAAAACAGACAATAGAACTAACAAAACAGACATTGTACCTAATAGAACTAACAAAATAGTCAATAGAACTAACAAAACAGACAATAGACCTAACAAAACATGAGCTAACTCTAGTTATTTATGCCCTTTTTTAAACTCTATCACTAGCTAACTCATGTTAGTTCTAACTTATTTCATGTTAGTTCTAACTTATTTCATGTTAGTTCTAATGACAAGTAAGAGCTAACTTTAAGTGGAACTAACATTAACACTTTGGCTACTTGGTCAATTGGTAAAGCTTGGGAATTTGGAGAGGAGGTCAGGAGTTCAAACCACTACACCTACAATATATATTTAAAGAGCAAGTTAGTTCTAGTTCTATTTCATGTAGTTATTTTCACCAACATAAAATCTATAGACAATTGGGGGTACACAAGCTCATACCTGATGTAGTTACTTTCACCATCCTTCTCAAGGGAGTGGCTGTGAAAGGAATGTTGAAGGAAGCAGCAATAATTTTCTTTCAAATACTAAAGAGGGGATTTATGCCAAATGCCATAGCATACTGTAGTTTGGTTGATTGCTTGTGCAAGCATAGCAATCTAATTGCTGGGTTTAAACTTTAAGAATGATGCTTAAAAATGGTGTTCATCCTGATATTGTTGTTTATAATGTTCTCATAAAGAAGGTAGAACATACAGAACTAATATGGCAGCGAACAGAACTAACGTAGGAGATAACATATCACGAAAGCGGGTAGAACTAACGTAAGAGATGACAGAACTAACATGGAAGCTGGTATAACTAACAGTTCAGTCCTCAGAACTAACAGTCCAGCCTTTAGAACTAACAGTTCAGCCCTTAGAACTAACATTCTAGCCCTTAGAACTAACATGACAGCCCTTAGAACTAACATTCATAGTTCTAATTTTCCTTGTCCCCCCTTTCAAATTCACAGGTTCTTAGATTCTTTAGTCGACTTTTAATCACATTATCTTCAATTTTTAGCTAAATGTCGATATGCCTGAAGATTCAATGTGAGCTTTTGAAAATTTCTGCTGTTAATCTCTTATACAGAACTCTGTCAATCACCAAATCACACAAGAAAAAGGCATTAAAGAAAAACCCAAACTGCTGTTCAAGAATCCAAGGAGATCTCATTTCAATTAAATGAAAGAGAAAAACTACAAAAATCCAATATCGATTCCCTTCATAAATTACAAGAAAACAAGAGCACTATCTTGATTAAGACATTGATTTGGGTAAAGATATTCCGTAACCTAGAAAGGGGAGAACAACGATGCATCAGACCAAAGCTCTGGGCTCCGTCAGCTCGCGGGTCCTACCGGACCATGTTCCGTGTTTGTCGTTGAACCCGCGTTCACGAGCTATTTCCAAGATGACTCCCCGACCTCCAACTCCATGACCACCGTCCTCGTCTTCGCCTTCCACGGCCTTCCCAAAACCTGATCATTTTCAGTGGCCATGGCAAGTGAGAGAAGGAGAAGTTGAGAGAGAGAGAGAGAGAGAGAGAGAGAGAGAGAGAGATGGGATGGGGTTAAAGGGATGGGCGCAGTTACCAAGCTCAATCAAATCAAAGGGTAAATTTGTAACTTTTGTTGGGCTTTTCTCAGGATCTGGTACTTTGGGGCCTTAACACAAATACAATGTGTATTTGGGGCTTATACACATGGGTCAGAATACAAATGGGCGGGTCACATGAACTTCTGCTTTTGGGGCCCGGACACATTTTTCCCTTATAATATTAGTTTGATTAAAAAAATAATATTCATAAAATATATAAACCATCTTTATGGTATTAATTTGGTAAGATAAAAAAAATTATAAATATTGTAAAAAAAACCTAAATTTTTTTAAAATTACAAAAAATACTCTGAAAAGTTTAAAATTATAAAAACTATCCTGACATCTAAAAACTTAAAACAACAAATATGAAATCAAGAAATTGACACCAGCTTGCAAATAATTTAAAATTTACGGTTAATATCTCAATATATTAAAAATTATAGAAACACTCTCAAAAGTTTAAATTACAAACAAGCACCTAAAATTTTAAATTTTTAAAACTTACAAACAATATACACGAATTCAATGGATTACCATAATGCACCTAAAAATTTCTGACATTTTAAAACTTAAAATAATAAATATAAAATCAAAAAATTAATAGCATCCTCCGAAAAATTTAAAAATCTCAATTAACACCCTCAATCTCCTAAAAATTATAGAAACACGCTCAAAAGTTCAAATTATAAAAACAACCCTAAAATTCTAAATTTTTTAAAATTTACAAACAACAAAAGATGAAATCAACAAATTAAATTTAAAATTTACCGAAATTAACCTCAAAGTTACAGAAGTTGTAGAGAAAACTCTTTCAAAATTTAAAAATCACAATAGCTGTAAATTTTTAAAATTTATAACCAGTACACATCAAATCTGGAAACTATTAGTAGACTACTAAAATTTAAAATTTTAAAAAATTAATATTCAATCTTAACAATTGTAAAAAGCAGTCTCAAAATTTCAGAGTTATAAGAAATATTATGACATTTAAAAATTATCACTAACACATGAAACATAAAAGTTACAACTACCAAACTTAAAAGTAATTTTTTTAAATGCTCCCAAAGTTTTAAAAATAACAAATCACACCCTCAAAGTTTAAAACCACAAAAAATGACTGAAATTTAAAAACAAAGAAAAGTGTAATTGTTTGGTATTATATCTGATTAAAAATATCTAAGTTGATACTCGTAAGCAAAAACAATAAGAATTGATTAAAAATATCTGATTAAGAAATAAAATTTTAAAAAGTATTATAGCTTAAAAATTATTGTCACCATATAAATTAAAGCAATTGCATAAAAATTTACTAATAAGTTAGTGCAGCAAAACACATTAGTAACATTAATTGATAGATGTTTAAATCCATAAAAATAATAAAAGACTATAATAACATTAATTGATAGATGTTTAAATCCATAAAAATAATAAA